ACACACACACACACACACACACACTTATACCTTTAGGCATCAAAGGGTTAAATGGTTTAAGAATTCCCAGCTTGGTGTGAAATTGGTTATGCCTAAAATCTTTAAGCATACTTGAAACACAAAAACTAGTTAAACAATCTTATTTTCCAAATTTTTACACGGTAAAAAAACTGGTTTAAAATAAAAAATCACACTTTGATTAACAATTTTCATATTTTATATAGCATCCAAAATCCAATTTGTAGATGTGATGCTGCAGGCTGCGTATCCGTTCCGAAGCTTCTGTGATGCTTTAGACGGTTTGGCTTAATGATGACCAAATGGGGATCTCCTTTCTGTTCATCCGAAGGGAAACCACTTAGAACCTCTGGTTCTGTTATACCGGTAGCTCTCAGTTACATGTTCATCTTTCATAATAACTTCTGAAATTAATCAGTTCACAGAAAAAAAAACTGCAAGCATTTGAAAATCCGAGTTGTGATCAGATTGATTGGCTGTTAAGGTTTGGTAGCTTTACTGTGTTAATCAGTCCCTAGTTCTCATAGAGACTGACTTATTAATAGAAACTTGCAATAATCTCCAACAGAAAGAATCAAGAGGTTTAAGCCAGACAAACCAAATAGCATATTTGTTGCGTTTTTAGACTAATGGAAACCAAACCACATCCTTAGAAGAATGAAAGCTGGGTTAAGATCTCATAATTGTTCTCTGCTCTCACCGACCGTCTAGAATGAGTTTTGAGAAATCTGTTTCTAAGGCTTCAGGGCTCAGAAGACCAGAGGCAGAACCCTTATCGACCAAGGAGAGGTGGTTCTCCATTGTTCCAAAACATCCATGCTGGATTTAAGATCAGCAAAAAAGAACCCTAAGGTGGAATTCATCCGATAGCCTTTATTAGGCTCGCCAATTTTGCATCATTTTTGTAACAGGAGAAAAGTCTCATTTCTCTCTTTCTGTGGAATGATAGAGGGGAAACAGGCACACTGGTTTGAAGGATCTTGCCAGTATTAAGGGGGTTTAGATCATACAAGTGTTCCCATGATGATTGAAGCAGGTTCCAATACTTTTGGCAGAGTGAGTCAGTAAAAAGTCCAGCTGGAAAATAAATTCATCTTCATAACATTAATCACCCAAATCAAGCACTAAGTGGTCAAACATTCTGCTGGATGGCTGCTCCTACGTAAATCAAAGAGGACCAATACTAGAAGATGACGTAGGTTCTTACACAATCAGACTTTTGACCATAAAAGTCCAGCTGTATTTTCTCTGTAGCCAAGGTTAGATGCATCTAAGGGACAGATCGTTCTGGTCCTCATTTGGAAACGTCTCAAACCTCCAACTCCTTCAGGTTTTGCTTCTAATTTTTCCTCAAAGACGTAGTAACTCCTGTTGATCAGGCACATTTATCCGTTTTTTCTTTCCACTCAATTTTACTCAGAACATGTCCTTCAGTCTCCTTCGTTAGCCAGTATCTACTGAGGCGTAGCCTCCAGGTGGAGGAACTGTGATCGTCTCACAGAGCTGATTTTATATTCTGCACTCAACATCTCTGCTTATAACCTGAAAAGAAAAAAACAACAGACTGGCAACTCCATGAAAATACTTATGAATATAGAGCGATTACATTGTTTGTCATTTATATTTAAATACTTCATCTATAATTTTAAAATTATTTTCATTCTTTATGGATTTTTTTTCATAATTTAATAGTACCGGTATATTTAATATTCAAATCACACATTAAAAAAATGTTACACCCACTTCATACTACATTTATTTACACCTATGCATTTGATATTTTAACCCTCATATTGCACCCTCCCACTTTGAGAACTCCATTATCCATTTAACAGATTCAGAATCTTTGGAATCCATAAAAATAAAGATTTCCAAACATCGGTTGAAATTTTAAATGATCTATAAATTAATCTACAACTGTATAAATTCCTCTAAAACACTTAAGGATTAAGATGCACCTTCTTGTGATTTAGTAGCATAAGGTTAATAAGTCATAGTCCACTTGTCGGAGGAATAAAAACTTTCAGCATGGGTAGATCACACATTGCTAATTTTATTTAGACTTCATGCATAATCAACCAACACAAAGAAAAGATGAAGCGACCCAGAAATGCAGCACAGCCTCCCTTTAGGACTCCACAGACACACCGATCTGATCAATAGTTTAAATAGAGCTTCATTCAAATCAAACACATGGAGGTTTCTTTTCCACCCAACGGAATGGAGAAGTCTTTGCAACACAAAACACACGACTAACACCGAAAAAACAGGAAATTAGAAGGAAATCTCTTTAAAATGTGCAACGTTCATGTTTGTCCAGATGAGGTTAATGTTCTGGTCAGATGAGAAAATATCCATCCTTCATAAGATCATTCCCTCCAACAGAGAACAACGAGAAGCTAAAGCAGCAGCAGCGTGGAAACGTCTCAGCAGCAGAAACAGAAGCTAATAACATTAAAGCTAATGCGTAGTGATGGTTTGCTCGTTTTCCCTTTTCTAATAAAAACATTTTAAATACTGATCACAAAAAAAGATAAATTACTACAGCACAGCGCGGTCAAAGTGAACGCTTGTATGAAAGCGTGTCGCCAGGCCGTAAAACGGCGTCTGTGATCAAAATGTCTCGTTTGTGGCGCCTTGTTTTTTTTTTTTTTTGCCGTGGAGCTCATTTCAGAAAACAAATGTCATGTTGAAAGGTCAGGCCTCTAAAGATGTAAGCAAATCAGAATAATTATGTGCAAACTGCATCTGAGGAGGAGAGATGTTGAAATCTTACATCACAGAGTCACTAAATCAGGAATAATCTCAACAGGAAGGACATAAAACACTTGGTCCTCAGCATGATTTTAGGACAAAACGGAGAGCCGGCCCAAGGTGTGAGTGAATGTTTTAGCTGCTTCGACTCGCTTTGTTTTAACAGTCAGGTTTTAGAGCTTGGCCATGTTTTCACATCGAGTCTTTCCATGCTCCATGTTAATGCTGATTACTAAGTGTTCCCTTTGCTCTGGTGAAAACAGAAAACTAGCCTCTGTTTTCTAAATATTCCACTTCATCGGATGAATTACGCTCTAATAGAACCCAAAGTGAAACCCAGGGATGAGTGGAACCTTGGGTCGGCTCTGCCTGCGTGTAGAGGAACGCCAGACAGTGAGTTTGCTCGTTCAGCATCGTTTGAATACAGCAGCTTTAGGTGTGGTCGGAGAACCAACCACTGCTCCCAGTTTGGGACCAAAACACAACCAGGCAGATCATCAGCTCTGCAACCACTACAAACTTCTTCCCTTTTCTTTTTTTTTTTTTTTTCCTCAGACTATCATGGAGATATTAAACATATCTGATAAGAACATAAACTCTTTCCAAAAACAAAAGAACAGATCTACATTAAATTACCATCTCTTCCATATAAGGAGTTTAAATATACACCAAACATCTGCCATTTACAGATTTACAAATCAACTTAGACTTGTTTGCAGAGACTGAAAGCAACACTAAAACATAATGTGCAGGTTCCCCTGATGAGGAGCGCAGTCTGCACTGGTCAGCTATAATTAAACCAAACACTGACTGGAGGAATCTAAAAAGAAATGTCCTGCATAACTAATATAAGGGATCCTGTTTAAGTTTTAGTGAAACTAAAAAGCATTAGCTGCAGTCCACAGCGGGCCTAAAAGGAAACTATCCAGGAAGAAGCAGCCCCAGCGTCTCTGAAACTAATCGGCATGCGGATGGGAGCCATCACCTGCTCGCCGGTTCTGTTTGATTTAGCCTTTCTCATGTGCCAATGTAGTGCTATGATGGGTCGGGGGACAGGTCCAATTGCAGGCGTTGCTGTTCAGGGTCTGGGGGGAGGGGCAAAGGTTGACAGTCTACATGGCAAACAGAGCACCTTCCGGTCTCTCCTGCTTCTTCCTGCTGGGTGTTCCCTGCGCTGCGCCGGGGTTGCTGCCAGGGGGCGATGGTACGCCGGGGGTCATCTCAGCAGCTTTGGCCCTCTCCTCAAGGAATTTGTCAAACTCTGGATGGATGATAACATTTCAATTCAATTCAGTTTTTATATATAGCGCCAAATCACAACACGTCATTTCAAAGCAATGTACAATTCAACCAGATAATAGAGTCACATAGATTCAAAGTTTTCCATCTAAGGAAACCAGTTTGCTTCATTGACTCAAAGACAATCCCTCACACCAAATTAAACAGATCTAGAGAACATAAGAGGGAAAAAAAAAACAAAACAAAAAAAAACTAGTTTGGGTTTTCTTACCTTCGCTAGTGACGCCTTCCTCACCTTCATCTCCTTTCTGTAAGAGAAGAAGCCACAACAGAAACATGAGCTCCAGAGGCCGACCCTTCAGACCAAAACTCGGCCTAAATAAGGCTTTCTGCTGCCCTCAGACGACATCTAACCCACCAGGCTGAAGAACATTTCCCCTATATTCGAGTTAGGATGCTACCTTTGGGGGGAGTTTGCCATCCAGATGTTAGATACCACCACTATGACCCCAGAATCTCCCTGATCTACGCAGCAACACTTTCAAAACAATCAAAATCCAGACATTGTAGAGTGGAAGGTAAATAAAAACCCAGCTCTTAAAACCTTTACTAATAAAAATCTGAAAAGTGTGGAGTGCACTCTTTTTTTTTTTTTTGTTTAGCCCATGTAAATCTGTCTTCTAAGTTTAGGCCTTCGAAAGCCACAAAAGTAGGGAATACACTGCAGCTGTAGTTAATTTAAAGAGCAAATTGCAGGTTAAAAGAAAAAAAAATGCAAACTGTCTTCCAATGGATCATATCTGAAAAGTTGAATTAGGATTTTAAGCTGGTGAAAATTCTCAGTCATCCAGGTCAGTCATTCCAAAAAAGTAAAAAAAAAAAAAATTTTTTTTTGCTTTTTTGGATTGAATTTAGGATTTTAAGTGTTTTGGTCGCCATAATGAAGCCAATTTACCAATAAAAGCGACAGTCCCCCTAAACACTGCTTTTTTTTTTTTTAAACAAGCGCGTCATTTGACGTCACATCAGGGAGTCAAATAAGGTAGAGCGAACGTATAACTGAGTTTTGTAGAAGATTGCATTCATCGATCATAAACATGGTCAAATACTATGTTTTCAGGGCTACACAAACTGTACTTAAAGGAATAGTACACCCAAAACATGATTAGCCTTCATTTTCTACTCACCCCCATGCTGAACAACACTCTGGAGTATTTTTTTGATTTCGCAAATGCATCTGGAGATCTGGGAGGCTTCTTGCTGTCTGCTGCCATTCAAATAATGGAGGCCTATGGTGA